GCTGATCCTGGGCATCAGCCCCGTGCTGGGGCAGGAGTTCTGCAGCCCTGGGAGCTACTGCTCACAGGGCAAAAGGGATGAGAAAACTGATGAAGTTCTGCTCCTGACCTGTGGTTTGGATATTCCAGGCAGCACCTGGGATGCTCCAGGAAGCTCTTTGGGCAGACACAAGAGGATGGAAAAGGCAGATTGGATTAAATTGGTTATATTTTCATTTACTGCTTCACTGCAGAGCTGTGAAGGGGAAGCCCAGCAGCCAGACTGGGGTTAACAGGGTGGGTGTTGTGCAGGGTTGATGCATGAACCTTTTTCTTTGGGTTTTAGCCAGGAATGTGTGGGGCTCTGGGTGGAGCTGGCTCCCAGGACCTGAGGGGGTGGGAGAGTGACCCCTCAGTTGTGCTTTGCTCAAATCCTCCTTAGATCTGCAGCTTTTTCTGCCTCTTCCCTTTGCAGGAGGAAAACTTCGTGGTGTCACTCTCCTTGGGAGGGTTCTAAGGAGCCTCTTGTACCTCTGGGCTGTCACCCATCCATCTGGGAGCTGCAGCAATAAGTGACAAGTCCCACCAGGAGCCATCTGCTGCAGGCTCTGCATGGCCAGCAGGATCCTGGCTTGGGGCTGGAGCCCCAGCTGGAGCCCCAACCCCAGGCTTGGGTGGAAAATCAGGATTTGGGCAGCTCCTGCTGCTTTAGGAGGGATGAGTGGATGAGATTTGGTGAGCTCAAGGCAGAGTTGGGTTAAAGGCAGTGGTGGATCAGAATTGTTGGAGTTGTTCAAAGCAAATCCTGGAGTCACCTTACCCAAAGAGAGCTTCCAGGCTTTTCCTGGGATCCCAGTGGATCCATCATCCCAGCCAGATGACATTAAACACCCACAGGCACTCTCCTGAAGAAATCTTAACTGTGATCTGGCCAAATTCCAGTTGGAGTCATTGCCTTTGCCTGGCAGTATGAAATAAAAGAGCATTTTTCTGAAAATCTCTGTTTTCAGTTGTTTATTATCTGGCTGGCAGCATCACATCTCTGCCCATTAATCCATCTCTCCAAGTTCCTCCAATTCCAGCCTCCTGGAGGGAGTTCAAGCTGCCACCATTTATTATTTGAGTCAGTCTGCCAGGGAAATATTGCTCCTTCCCTGAAGCATCGACTCCCTTCTCTCAGTGCCCCCTCCGTGCTTGAATGAGCCATTTGTGGCTCCCAAAATGATATTAACTCTGTGAAACAGAAAATACTCCACATATTTAAATGCTGATTTTACTCCAGGCTGGTGGGTTGGACTTGAAACGTGCAGCAGCAGTTGCTGGTTTCTGTGGAGGTTCCCAGGGCGATTTTTGGGACGCCCCATCCAGGTGTGCTGCCTGCTCTCAAAAGTGCCAATTTGATCATCTCTGTGTGGCTGAGGGCTGATTTGTCCCAATATATGTTGTGACATCATTACCTTTGGGGTGCTTTACTCTTCTCTCAACCACAAATTGATTCCTGCCTTAAAAATCTGGTTTGGGGAAGAGTAGGTTGGATTTTGCTCACAGGACAGGGGTTGAGCAGCAGGATGTGTCCAACATCCAGAGAAGCACGGGGCTGAGTCACATCCCAGCCCTCCCTCCCCACACTAATCCCACCTGCTGAAATCATTTTTCCCAGATAACTTGGAGCAGATGATGGATGGAACACTGAATTAATCCATCCTTCCTTTGTGCCTGACTCTTGTTTACAACGCCAACCTCCCTGCTTGGAAATCCAGGATGCTGCCCTGAATTTAGTGGAGATAAAGGAGTTTTGGAAGAGGTGCTGGCCAAACCAGCATCTCTGGGGATATTTGTGAGCAGCTGTGATGAGTTTTGTTTGTTGTTTTTTTTTTTTTTTGCACAGGAACCTCATTTGGGCAGCAATAATTCCGTGTGTGAGTGAAAACAACAACAGCAGAAGCTGCTTTCTCAATGACTCCTCACAGGGACCTGCTGCATTTTCCCCTAATTACAATTCAATTTGCAGTGATAAATAGTTTAATAAGCAAAAACGGGCTTGGCTGTGGTTGGTTATGGCTCTGTGTGGCTTGGGGGATGCTGGGACTCGTGGAAACACAACTTGGAGCTTCCAAAGGCTGGGAGCTGCAGTTTAGGACAGCAGAAAGGAAGAATTTGTTGTTTTACCTGGCATGAGGGAAAGATAAGTTGGGGATGCAGCTCCCAGATGTTTTGCTTGGGTGATGTTGGCCTGCAGAGTGATGGGTGAGCTCTGAGTTTTGGGGGGAAAAGAGCTGGTTTTGTGGTTTTTGCTGCAAACAACAGGTTGGGCACAGCATCCTTGTGCCTCTCACTGGGCTTGAGGTTTTATTTTCAAAAATAATCGGGTTTTTTTATACCTTTCATGGCTGTGGCTGGGGAATTTCTATTGCTGGCTGCTGGAGGAACACGTTGCATTTTTCTGCTGGGTTTTTGGATATAAATTTCAAATTCACCCCTCAAAGTAGGGTAGGTAGTTGGATTTTTTTTTTGTGTGTGGTTTTTTCTTTTTTAAGACTCATAGCTTTACACTGCTAGATTTGCAGAACACTTCTCCCATGGAGGCTCAGCTGGTTGGTGGAAGGAAGTTTGCCTTCCATTGGAAAAGGATGGATCAATGGTTTGACTTTCAGCTTCCTAAGGCTGGAAACAAATAGGATAAACTGCAGAAAAGTCACAGGTGATTTCTGTTTGAAAATTTCCCCTTTTCCCTGTCACTTCCTGCAGAGATGTTCCCATTTTCCTATCACACGTGGACACAGCACCCCAGCAGAATTCAGGGGTTTGGATCCACTCCTGAAAACCCCTCAAATCTGTCCTGAGAAAGCCATGCCTGGCTCATAAATCCCATCACTTTAAACCCTTATTTATTTGAAATCTGCACTTGCCATCCAGGTAAAATCCCCTGGGAAAAAGGAACGTGCTGAAAAAAAGTGACTGGAGCCAGATGCTGGGCGTTTTCTGCAAAGCCAGTGATGGGTGATTTGCTGCTGACAGCATGAACTGGTGTTAAGCTATTAAATTGCAGATGAGCTCATCACTTGGCCTGGAACAAGTTTCAGCCTTCAGAGACTTTAAAATATTGTGTGTGGTGGAAAAGAGACAATGCTGGTGTGGCAGAGAGGTCTGGGGAGCAGCTGAGAAAGACATCTGTGCATAAAAAATATGAGTGCCAGGAGGGAGGAGGGAACGCTCCATGTGGAAAATGTAAAGTTCTCCCAGGAGAGAGGAGGAGAAATTCTCTGATTTATGAGCTGGACATTTTAATTTTAGCTGAAGAGAAAATGGTGAAGAGTTTGGAGATGCTTGAAGGGGCAAGATGCTGAGCCTGGTTTGATCCTGAGAGGTCCCAGTGAGTTGTCCCAAGTCCCCCAGACTGACTCTCTGGTAGTGCTGGTGTTTGCCATAGATCATGGACCAAATCCAGCTTTTATCTGATGTTTTCTTAATCCTGATGCTGAGCTTCACCAAACTGGGAAGGTGACTTCCACACTGCTGTTTGGTCCTTCTCCCTGGAAGAGTGGGAGTTTCCTTTGAGCACCTCCATCCACAAGTTCTATTTCTTCTTCCTCTTGCAAAGGAGCCCAAGCTCTCTCCACGTTGAGATTCTTTATATTTTTAAGTACAAAAACAATAATTTGTATAAATTTGTAAATAGTAATTTGTATAATATATATAATTTGCATTATATAATATAATCAGTATGATTTGTAAATAGTAATTAGTCAGAAGGCATGAGACAGACCAGAAATCAGTTTGGCCACTCGATTTTCCCAACTGGGCAGCCTCACACGTGTGTTTTTGAACTGCCTCGGCTCTTTTTTTACTAAATAACCTCTTTGCAGTCAAGGAGTTGGTATTAACTCAGGCAGTGCTGCAGGGTCGATCCTAAAAATACCAAGGAAACCAGTGGGATAAACACTTGTCACCTCGTTTGTGGCCTGAGCTGTAACTGCTGTTATGTGAGTTCCCTCGGGCTGTTGTGTCTGAAGGCAAAATGAATTTTTTTTTAAGTGTGCATGTTTATTTTCCACCTGTCTGACATCACAGAGCATCCACACCTACAAGCAATGTGCCTTCCCGTGGGGTTTTTGGGGCTGGAGGATCTCTGAGCTCAGGACAATGCTTTAATTTATTGCACGGTGCCAAGGTATTATTGGCTTGTGTTTGCCAGGAGGAAATTCTTTGTGCTGGGTGCCACCAGCTCCATGGGAAGTAAAAGTTCAAAAGGGAATAAAAAGAGTGTCTGGGTATTATACACACAAATATATTTGAGGTGAAAGGAGTACACTGTGTATAACCCTTCCCCTCCTCACCCCTAGGCACTGATGTATTCCATACAGGGAGTTCTCTGCTAAAATTCCTCAAATTATTCAGTTTAAGAAATACAAACCATAGAAATCAGCCGTGGAGGGGACCTCAGGAGGTCTGGCCCAACCCTGGGGCAGGATCAGCTCCACCTGAGCTGCTCCTGGCACCACCTTGTCCAGCCTTCCACTCCCTCCCAGTCACTCTAATCCAGCATTTTGCTCTTCCCTCTCTCCAATCCATCCTCCTGGTCCCAGTGCTGCAGTTTCAGGCTCGTTCCTCCCTCCCTGTGCACAGCAGCCCCAGAGCTGCTCCAGTGCTGCATGGATTCTCCAGTTGCACTTCTGTGTGAAGTTCCCCGGGGTCATCTTGCATTTCATCCTGCTGCAAGGGTGTCATTAACTCAGTGGGTTTATGAGGCTGATCCTGCAGCCCTAAAGCCTCTTTGCAGAGCAGGGGAAGACCAGGAGTGCAGCTTCCCTCAGGGTGACACAAGGTGTCCCTTCCTTCCCTTTGTCACCTTTTCACTGCAGGAAAAACAAAAACCCTCCAACAACATTTTTAGTGGGAGCTAAACTGGATCCTTTCATTTTAGGGGGATCATTTCCTCCTTGGCTCCTCCTCCAGTGAGGGCTGACTTTAAGAACCTTTTCTATCCTCCCTAACCTTGCTCCTTTGCCCTGTTTCCTGCAGGATTTGGGGATGGAGTCCACCTCTCTGGATGATGTCCTCTATCGTTACGCCAGCTTCCGAAACCTGGTGGATCCCATCACCCACGACCTCATCATCAGCCTGGCAAGATACATCCACTGCCCCAAACCAGTAGGTGCCACAGTCTCCTCACGCTCTGGGGCTGTGCTGCCTTGGGAAACTGGGAATGTGGAGCTTCTCCCTGAGTGCCAGGGGAAAATCATCCCAGTTCTGGGTGGCTCTGGACCAAGAGGATCAGGTTTTCCAGCTGAACAAGTGATACTTGGTTAATGTTGGCACTCCTTTTGGGTTGTGTGTGGCAAGGAATCTTCCATGGGTGGATGGAGCTGCAGGCATCACTCTCCTGTATTTGCTGCTAATAACAGGACTTTAATTTCCTGTGCGAGTGTCTGAAGGGATGGAGACATTCACTGCTGCTTCTTGGGGATGTTTTACTCAGTTATTGCCTCCACCACTGTTTGAAAAGGAGGGAAATTGCTTTTTTTTGTTTTCGAAACACAGATTTCTTTCATGTCGTGAGGCAAAGCCACAGAGGTGCTGTTTGGGCTGTGCCTGCCTGTGCTGTGGTGTGAGTCTGACTCTGAAGTTCCATAAAACTCTGCACTCAGTAAAAGGTGTTGGGAAGGGTGGAGGGGACACCAGGGACCCAAATGTCCACCTCCAGAGACCAAGGGTGGCTGTCCCATGTCCTACAGCGTGAGATGGAGATGGAGCTGTACTGTGCAGGGATATCCATGGATCTTTTTGCCTGTGGAGAATAAGATCCTGATCCTTTCCTTCCTCCTCCCCCCCGAGCTGGGAAAGTGGAGGAAGCTGCTCTCGTGCCGGGCGCGTTTCCAGGCGGAGAGGCCCCGTTCCCCTGCTGAGGTTGTCCTTTTCCAGAGCCCTGTGACCAAGCTGGTTTCTCCTCCTGAGGGTGAGCCATGGCAGGAGAGCTCTGTATTCCCCATAAACCCCCCCGAGGCCACTCCTGAGCCTGGAGCTCCTGCTCTCCCTTGGCCCCTGCAGGTTTCTTTTGGCACCAAAGGCTGTGGAGGAGGCAGTGCCAGGGTAAGCAAGGAGATGTAAAGTCCTCACTCCTCTGCTCAGGCCTGTGAAGCACATCTGGACAGCTGTGTCCAGTCCTGGGCTCCTCAGGGCACAGAGAGCTCCTGGAGTGGGGCCAGAGCAGGGGGATGAAGGGGATGAAGGGACTGGAGCATCTCTGACAAGGAAAGGCTGAGAGAGCTGGGGCTGCTCAGCCTGGAGAGGAGATGCTGAGCCCTCATCCCTGGCTGTCCCTGTGTGCAGGGACCCAGCAGTGGGACAAGAGGAACTGGCAGGAACTGATACCCTGGAAGCTCCACCTGAAAATGAGGAAAGATTTCTTCCCAGTGCAGGTGAGAGCTGGAATTGATTGTCCAGAGGGGCTGTGGAGCCTCCCTTCACTGGAGAGATCCCAGAGCTGCCTGGGCACAACCCTGTGCCCTGTGCTGGGATGAAATTTGGGTCTTCCAGCCTGACAGTTCTGAGATTCCGTGGTGGCAAAACCCCAAATGAATCAACCTGTGCAGCAGTGAGGCTCTTACTCTGCAGGAGATGATTTTTGGATGCCCTTGGTGCTCTGCACATCCTTTGCACAGCTCAAAGCACCACACCAGGGATGGAGGAAGGGATGGATGGATGGATGGATGGATGATGGATGGATGGATGGATGGATGGGTGCTGCCTTGGAGAGAGAAGCAGGGGTTGTGCAGGTGACAGAAAACAACTCCAGCAGCAGCAGGGCTGTGCTGCAGCTCCTCGTTGGTGGCTTTGCCTTGCTCAGGTTTGGGTGCCACTGGCTGTGCTTTAAACCCTTTTTCTGTTTTTGCCAGCTGAGTGGAAAGTAACTTCATCCCAGTGTTTCATGGTGGTTTCCTGAGATCCTGATGTTCTGCAAGTCCCCAGAAAGTTGCATGCTTTAGTCACCAGGGTTATTTTCCAGCTCCCAGCCCTCTCTTCCCCCAGACTTACTTCACTTTGACAGAGGCTTGGCACAATGTGTGAGAGCAGAACACTCAGGGCCAGGAGTGCTGCAGTTTTGGCTTTTGCTCTGCATCCTGTGGCACGAATATACATAAATATATAAGCTGAGGCAGCTGGGAGCTTGTCCTTATCCATCCAGAGGTGGATGGAGCTGATCTGGACCCTGGTCCCTGTTAACCTTCTTTTTTAAATATGTCCCTGCTCAGGGTTATGGGGTCCTGCTTCCCTCCTCCCTCCTGGCGAGGCTTTCCCGACTCTGTACATTGCTTTTTTTCACTCAGCTTCTATTTATACCACCCTTAGCTTAAAGGTGAGCCCTTGGTCTCTCCTCTGAGCTAAAATAAAAGTTGAATCATTTTTCCAAGCCCTGGGTAAACACAGCCTGAGTGTGTATGGCCAGGAAAAATTGGCCTGGGCTCCCCAGCATGGCTGTGGAGCTCAGGGGATGCTGATTCCAGCCAGCAAATCCAAACCAAAAGCTGGAACTTGTGCTGGAGGAGGCTGGAGTGCTGTGAAGGAGGAATCTGGGAGGTGGAAATGTTTGGGTGAGTTTTGTGTGGGTGTCCAGGCACTGGTGCATGGCTGGATGGCTGCTCCCAGCCCCTGCTGAGGTCCCAGCCTGGCCTGTGGGTTGGGGTGTGAAAGGAGCCAAGGGAAAACTCCTTTCCAGATCATTTGGAAATCAAGGGTTTGGTTTTGTCCCATTACAGATGTGTTTAATGCTGTTCAAGGAAACCCAGGTCCTGGAGTGCAGCTCTTGTCACCTTTAGGGTTCCTGAGGCCTCGGAAGGGGCAGATTTGCTGATCAGGAAAATCAGATTGTGCAGGAAGTTTTCCAGCAAGGAAAGAGGGATCAAAAACATCTGAACAACTCTTGGCCAGTCTCTTATCTCCCTGCCTGGTGGAAAAGGTTCCTTGGAGAGCAGCTCAGCTCCAAAGCCACTTCCCAAAACCCAGCGCCGGGAATCTGTGGGTGCTGCCCTCAGCCTTTGGGGTGATGCCTGCCTGTCCCCATGGCCAGGAAGAGGGGACAGAACACCTCAGCAAAGCCATGTGCTGTGGGATGGAGCCCCAAATCCCCTGCAGCTGCTCCAGCTTGCAGCGAGAAGGAGCTGAAAACACAAACTTTGAGTAAGGAGCGAAGGGCCCCCGTGAAAAATTCACAGCTCTCCGTGCCAGCAGGGATATCTGGCCCTGAACTATTGGAAAATTAAAGCAATTCCTTTTTTTTCCACACACCAAAGCCACGTGTGTGGATGACTGATGGCTGTGATAGGGAGTGAGTCAGGCTTCCCTCCAGCTTGAGGACTTGTTGGATTTGGGATAAGCACTGGGGGAAAGGGGGAAGCGGAGCCTTGGGCAAGGCTGGTCTGGGCTTTGAGCCCTCCTGCTGTTCCACTGCAACCCCTGGGATGTACCTGGAAGCTCCTCCAAGCCCTGAAGGCTGCCCAGAGTGAGATTTTGGCTTTGCTGACCCCTCATCCTGCTGCTTTTTGGCAGAACAGCTCAGCAAAGCCCCATCCCAAAATCCAGCTTTGCCAGGCCATTCTCCTCCTCCCAAGCCTCAGGTGGGAGATGTGATCCTGCTCAAACACAGGGGAGTGGATTTGGGCAAATATCTCAATTTGGGATTGAGATAATCGCCTCTTGCATGCAACAGGGAACATCATCCTCATCTTCCCCACTAAAATTCAAGATAAATGGGGACAAGGAGAGTTTTTAAAGCTCTTCTAAGCAGCTGGAGAGTGGAAGCAAAGTGGATTTTGCCCTGGGTGGATGGAAGATCTGTTTTCTTGTTATTTGAGCAATTTCTGTGTGGCCACATCCCTGGCTTTGATATATTTTCCTGCCTGAGCTCTAAACTGATCAGGTTTGCAGCATGGCTTTGATTCCATGAATTGTCACCCATGAAAACAAGAAAACATGGAGAGGAAAAGTGGTTGTTGTGACCTGGATGGAATAATTTATTTCTAACCCTCCTTCAGCCTTGTGGGGTAAGGATTTAATTTACAAATGATATTGAGGGTTTTATGCCCTGCATTTTGAAAATGTGTTATTTCTGTCAGGGCTAAAATGAGCATTTTTCTTGTTATTTACCATCCCTCTGTGCTGTGCCACGTGGCTAAAAGAGTATTAATAACCTCAGCTTGTGCAGGATGAAGATAATCAGGGCACCATGACCACCAGCTCAGGGCCTTCACCCCAAATAAATATCCCCATATCCAGCTCCTCTGCCACATGTGTTATTATTTGAGCTGGAATTCAAATTATCATTCCAAGTTCCTGACATCAAATTTGGTTTTCAGCCTTCTGAGATGAAATGAGAGGTATGAAGTGGTGACACAGTGAGGGACATTCCAGCTCAGGGTGATCTCATCAAGCCCAGTGAGATTTTTACCTTCCCCTTTTGCTCTGAGGTGTGCAAGGAAAATCCCACGGAGCTCCCAGATTCCAAAGTGCTATGAGAACACTGAGTATTATTTGTTTTCTGCTTTAAGAAACATCATTAAAGGAGCTGATCTGTGAACAAAACCCCTCTAAACCCCCAAAATATTATATAAAAGTGGAGGGGATGATGAGGATTCAGCTTAATTCTGTATTAATGACTCTTTGTGGGGGTTTTTTTTGTTGGTTTTTTTTTTTTTTTTTTTTTTTGTTTTTTTTTTTTTTTTTTTTTTTTTTTTTTTTGGCTGGTCTTGCTTCAAGTGTGAAGATCTCTCTTTGTGGGTATTTATGACATCTGCAATACTTGAAGATGTCCTGAAGAAGGAAAAATCTGGAAAGCTCAGACCCCACTGAGGGCAGCTCTGGTTCTTTGCTGACTTGATATCCTGCTATTTGCTCTGCAGAAAGAGAGATGTTCCTCCTTTTGTGTGAGAGCTGAAGCTGAGCTGAGTGCCCGGGAAATGGGAGGAAATTACACTTTGCAGGGGTTTTAAGCATGAAATCTGAAAGGGAATAATGGCAAGGTTTGGATGGGCTGTGATGGTGCCACTCCTGTGAATTTACTGGGTTTTTATGTGAAATAAGACCTGAGCCCTGCCTGATCCTCCTTTTTCCAAGCCCTGTGGGGTGCAAGGAAGTCCCTGGATCCTTGTCCCTCC